TTATGATATTTAGTATGTTATAAAAATATCCCTAGACTTTTCCGATGTGTGTATATTGTCCTGTAAATATATTTATCTGTTGGTTAATACATTTTGTTTTTTTCCTTTTGTTTTTGAAGTTAATTATTTTTATATGTTCTTCACAATTTTACCATATTTTTTGTATAATTATGGTGAAAAAACAAAAACAAACTTTTTACCAAAAAATATGTTGAATTGTTCACATATAACTGCAATTTCTTCCCAAAACTTACTTTGCTTGTCACACTAGGGTTTGATGGTACACGAAATCTCTGGTTTTTTCTCGGAAATGTCCCCCCAGACTCCAGTAAATCGGGCTGTCTCCGTGCTGCCTGAGCATCTACAGATGGGCTGTAAATGTGGTGGAAGGGCTCAAAACTGAAACTCTCCCTCGACTGATTGATGTGGGGGTGTTGGTGAGGCTGAAAGGGGTAGTGAGCTCGAGGAGACACAAATAATTGACTGTGTCCCCTGCTGTGTGAAGAAGAATTTACATCATGGTGGCCCCCTACTATGCTGTCTCTTTCTGAACCTGATCCATATTTCGGGATAACTGGAATTTCATCAAGAGTTTTCACATACATTATCGCATCGGTGTTTATAATTTTATAACTATAGTTTTGTTCAAACTATCATGAAAAATAAAAAGAAACTTTCAGTGCCATTACACTACGAGTGTATAATAAAAATAAAATAAAATGGTAACAGTGACAAATGTTGGCAAAAATCAAAATTTTCTTATATATTTCATTAGAACATGAAAAGTATTTTTCAACAACACACTGTCTGTTCAAAAATGAGGTGAATTTTCAATTTTTTCAAAATTTATTCATTCATTCATCAATTCCTATTTTTTTCTCCTTCAAAGTAGCCCTTCTCAGATATAATACATTTGTGTCAGCGTTTTTTCCAATCCTCAAAGCAGTTCTGCACTTTTTGGTATGTTCTTGAGCCAAGATTTAGACTTGAAATGTCATTACGAAATTCTGTTGTTGTGGAAGTTTGATACAACTGGCCTTATATGTAATAGCACCAATATGGGATAAACAGTATTGTTTTTTCTCAACCACTTTTCATCATGTGCTCATTCTTTCTTCCTCTCTAGCAGTCACTTGTTATATTCACAATAATATTTACTTTTCTTTCAATTTTGCATATTAGGATGATAATTTGAATATATCTTCATCATTATTATAGATTTCTTCGTTCACTATTTCATCAGCAAATAAATTTTGTGTCAAAAAAAGTGGGTGATTATTATTGTGTAATGAAATAATGTAATAATGAAAAAATACATCTGAAATTACCAACTTTATGTGCAGTTGTGAATTACATAAAGAAAAAAGTGTTACCAGTTTGGAATTGAATAAAAATTAAGAGTATTTAATTTTTTCTAATGCTATTTAATGATATCATGGCAAAAATGTAATAGGGTTGCACGTAGAAATGAAAAATCTCTCAAATGAGGTGTCATTCCACCAATTTTTGACATGAAGCTTATTGGAGGGGTTGGATGAAAATTACACTTGAGGTATTTTAAGTGGTAGTTTTTACAGTCTCAGAATCAAATGATTTATTCAGGGTAGCTATAGTTTCAACTGGAATGCATCTCACAGGACCCAGTTTAAATATTTCTCGATGACCAATGTTTATGTTGATCTGAAAATTAAATGGAACTATTTCCAACATCCTTTAATTAGAACACTAGAAAGCAATACACATTTTCAATTATCCTTTCGAGCAAAACCAAAGCTTTTAAGATAAATGTAATCAATGATGAATTATCAACCGATATTTTATTTTATTTTATTATACACGGATTTTCCCCTTTTTACATATGAAATATAATACAGATACATATTTATACTAAATATAAACTAAAAATGAACAATTTGACAGTACTGCAGTAATAGACAGACACTTATACTAATAATCTTTTTACACTGGTTTTGAATGAATTTGATGTTTGACCAGTAAATTCTAAACCTCTATTGCAATATTCATTACCTAATCTAACAAAACCTGACAAAGTTCTATGATAACCATAATTTGTGCTGGTAGGAAACTTAGAATAATTCAGAGTTTTGAGAAAGTCTATTTGCAACTTCAAAATGAATTGAATGGAACAATGAAGGACAATTTATCTCCCCAGATAGTATGGACAGTAATCAAGTCAGTTCTTTTTCTACTATTTTCCAAGCTAGTAATATTCAAATTTTGCATAACTTGCTTATAATCAATCATATTCACCATATCTAACTTATAAAATTTTTTATCTCAGACTTTTACCATAAACTTTTTGAAGTGTGCTTGAGCCATATTAATATTTTGTTTTAAATTCTTTACTTTTTTGTTAATGTTTCAGATTGTTTTAGTTCTTGAGCAAGCTTTGTCAACAAAACCAAAACTTTTATGACAATAAAGCATTTCTTACTTTGACACTCTTTCTATTCGATCGATGTATGTGAGTTCGATAATATGGTGACCACGCTGGTGAGGCGTATTGAATAACCAAATAAAGCTTTATTACTATTACAAACATCAACAACTCTTGCAGAATATAAAAAATAAAAAATTCCACTCATAAAAATAATCAATACTCACCAGATATGTTGTTCTTTTTGAGGTAAGATATCACATCTTTATCCACGAATCTGTGAACAGGAAAGTCTAGACTATTGTCAGAGTTCATGTTGACGCTCTGCCTGTTCGTGGCATTCCCGGATCTCAACCTCTCGAAGGAATCCGTCTCAAGGCCAAAGTTATGTGAAGCGTCGACACTCTTGTATACAGAGTGTCTCGCATAATTGACAGGCACTGCCGAAGACACCAGCGAAAGTGGTATGGGCGTGGAATTCCTGTAGTTGTAGTTATCTTGCAGTTGGTTATTTTTTGGGGCCAACAGGGATAGTGGTAGACGCTCTTTAGTTCTGGTTACAACTGTTCCTCCGCTAGAGGTTAGGATTGGAGCGGCTCGGGCTTTGGGCCAAGTGCCTCCGTTGTTCTTCTCTTCTTTTGTTTGAGATTGATGTCTTTTGGCGCCTAATAATGTTATTTGTTACTGAAGGTACATAGTACTATTACATTTTAATATGGAAACGAACATAATCACGGGTATGTTTATTAATCTATTTATGGGACTTGTCCACCTTTGAATACAAATATGCGAAAAAAAATTCAGAGCATACAATTTGTTTTTCAAGAAACATAAACAAATTTGGAATACATAAAATGAGGAGGTTGCGTTAATGGTCATGTTATGATTGCGCATGGCTGGTGTGAACCTCTAAGTAGGAATGGGTCAATTGAGGCTAAGCCTATGGCGAGAAGCGCTTACTGCGCAACCTCTGTTTCAGGCAGCCAGTGATGAAACTGAACCCAGTACAGTAGAAAACCTGTACCCAAAAAGAAGGAAATATAGTTACTGGGTAATTATCTCGATATTTCTTTACAATGAGTTAGGTTAATTTTCTTATGTTATCTAAAAAAGTAAACGGAAAGACATTTTGGAATACTCAATTTTGCTGTGTTCATTTGATACTATTCATTGGATCCAATTAACTCTTGCCAAAATTCAAGAGTACACTTTAGTACATATGTAAAGTATAAATAATTTGAAATGTCATTGATAAATATTCAAAACAATAAAGTTCCTAGATAGGACCCCCGAGGTACCCTAACAAGGAAAAGGAATATTCACCTGCCGTGCTTGGATTGAATTCCATAGAACTCAATGTTTATAATGACTAGTAATCAACTGTTCGTGAACCTTTGTAAGTAATTGGTGCTTGAATTAAAACACAGCATTCATTTAATGTATAAAATTTTCGTTTCACAGTGTTGCCACACTCCTAGGCCCGATTTTAATGAAATTTTATATGTATATTCAGGAGTTCTGAGAATAAGGTTTAGTTTATTTTTCATATACCTAACACCTAAACCCACACCCCAAACTTTTTTGTTCTCATGTTTTTATGATGTGGCATTGAAAAATACATATAACCCTCAATTTTTACCCTTCTATCACCAACCTCTATTTCTTAATAGCCATTTAAGTAATTTAACCATTGTTATTCCTGCCAGGCGTCTACCGGTGTCACTTCGCACTCAGTAAACAGCAAGGAGTAGGGATGACAACAAAGCGTCTCCTGTCTCCCCCGCACAATAAGCCTTCTCTCACTCCCTACAAGGCGACTATTATTGTTTATCCATCTTGCGTAGATACAGTATGCGATGCCACCGAAGCTGTGGATTATCCAACAAAGTTTTTGAACTCATTGGATTTGCCAGACATGCCAACGCATAATTTACAACTGAAGGTTGGATAGTCATTGAAAAATAATGAAAAAAAGGTGACGAAGCCAGCATTTCAATATAAAGTTTGGAAGTGAAAATATATTAATACCACAAATCCCTGATATACCTACAGATGTGCCAATTGATTTTAAACGTGTGCAACGGGGAATGTTCCTCCTGAAGAAAATCAAGTAGTTTTCATAAACGAGCTCTAAAACAACGCATTTCAAACTTATCGTTTCAACCTTTTTCTTTAAAAAATTATTCAAATACTTAAAAAAAGAAGAATGAAATAATGCATTCATCATTTAAAGGGATTCGTTTCTATTTCACCATTTGGCAACATTGATTATAGCTAATAAAGGACAATGAATCTGTTACCTGTATGAGACAAACAAAGGTGACGTATTTCAGAGGCGTGCTGTTCTGTTTACTTATGTTCCGAGTTCCGAGACATTCTGTGACATATGACATTTTGTGCACCTAACCTTACTCAACTTTATTTTGTTCAAACTTGCATTTGCTATAATAACACAAATTGAGGAACATTCCCCATTATACGTGGCAGGCTCTCGAGTGGGCAAACCATCCAGTTTGTTTGTGTTAGTTAAACATGGACTAACGAAAAATATTGTACATATTTCAGCATTAAGGGATTAATATTATTTGTAAGTGTTATTGTTCTGAGAAATAATATATGTGGTAAAACAACGTGTACCAGGTTAGCTAGTATTATATAGATTTCATTCTGAGTCGCAGGAAATTTGCTTACCCCCAGATCTTTTCACTGTTCCATGATGATAACTCTCCAAAACCAGATCCAGCTCAGCAATAGCTTGTTCGTGGCCATAATCTATTGGATTCGGAGAACTGTTCCTGTACTTTTTTTTATCGTCCTTGGAATGTCTCCAAGGACCTCTCATCATATCTAGCTTCTCCTTCAACCAAGCGCCGCCATTGTTCTTCTCTTGGTTACCATACTTGTAATCCGCTATGAGCCAGTCTTCTGTTTGAGAGCAGCGCGTCTGTTTTTTGTGACGCCTGACAGGTGTGAATACGTTCGGACATTCTGGATAGCTCATCTTCAGGGTGGTTATGTTGATGACGTCGCCGNTTAACAAGAATTCTGTTCTTTGGACAATAAAGTTCTTTCTCTCTCTCTCTCTCTCTCTATAAATTGAAACAATAATAATAAAAGTGGTTTGTTGGTAAATACAACACGACCATTGACCAAAGTCCTTCAGTATAATTCTAACACATTTTGATTATACTTTCAGAATTTCACATTACATCGATTTGAATGGTTTACTATGTTAACCTATCTTGATTGATTAATTTCAAGAAAAATATTGAATTACTCAACAAAAATGAACTCTTACCAAAATATTCCGATTAGAAACCTCAGAAACCACGTTTCAAATTGGTGTTTCATGGTGAATTTTATTAGTTCGAACNTTTGATCGCCCATGATCAAGCGACCATCTTCCGAAGTGGCGCCCAGATCTCCGAATTTTTCTCGAAGATCGTTACATTCTTTTAAAGCTTTATCGCGCTCGTGGAGAGCGCTGGCAATTTCTCGTCTCAGAGATTCTAGTTGATAAGTGAGATTCCGTTTTTCCTCCTGCAGTTCTTGGTTGTTGACGTCGAGGATTTTGTTCTTTTTCGTCGCTTCAGATAGGTCGTCGCTAAGTTTCTCCATTTCTTTGTGAACGGTGTGCCTGAAAATTCAAAATTGAAGCAATCAGCGGTAGCAATTGCAGTAGATTTACTTTAACTGAATACATTTTGAATATATGGCCAAAAATCTGGTAGCGAATGAAATTGTTCAAGATATCAGTGAAGTCACAGATGCTGATTCAAATAAATTTGCCGATGATCATGTGTGAATTGTTTTCAATACACAACCCATCCAAGCTATTTAAACCATGTTGTAACAGATTAACTTCGTCTAATGATTGTATTGGTCTGAAAATTTCAAGATCATTTGCGAACATTAGAAAGGTTAAATTTTCAAAACATTCTGTAATTTCATTAACAAAAATGTTGAACACAAGATATGCACAATGAGACCCTTGAGGTACTCTCGATCTGTGAAATAATCTCATCTTATGTAATATGTTGTGATCCACACGATATTGAAACCTTCCATTAGTCATAGGTAATTCATGTGATGTCAATTATTGATTTTCAATAAGCTAATCTCTTACAAAAGTCACAAAGATGATCTAAGCAGTTTCATCTTGACAAGTCTGCCACACTGTAAAATTTTCATTTAGAGTGTGGAATGGGCACTTTTCCACACACAGAGCACCTAAAACTGTTAATCTAGCGTGGTTATTAAATAATAATATAATTTATCGTTTACTGATATTTCATTCACTTCAGAACTCTCACAAGCAAAAGTTTTGAAAAATTGACATATTACAACAAAATCATCACTCACCCTGAGCACCCTATCTCCGACCGTCAAACTCTTATCCCTCGCTGCCAAACTACCTTCGCTGATTCTATTGATGTACACCCCCATTTTCAGAGATAGACCGTGGCATCCCGGGACTAGGCGAGCGGTATGTATCCACTTGGTGACCTGATCTTCGACCCCCTTGCCTTCGGTTCTGACAGACCTACTTCTCCTCACCAACACCCTAGCGAGGGGCATGCTCGAACGAATGGCCTCCGTGACCATTCTCAGGGAGGTTTGGCTGCAGTCGACATCGTTCACCCTCAAGATTCGGTCGTTTTGGAAGAGTTTTCCTTCAGCTGTCGATCCAGTAGCTACGGAGGCTACGTACACGAAACCGTTACCTAGAGATTTTTCAATATAAAACACAGATATCCAACTATGAACTACAAGGATGCATTCATAAACTTACTCCTACCAATGGAACACAGTTTGGTCACGTGAATAGAAACACATTGGCATCATATTTCATCATCATTTATAAAATGAGAAAAAAAGTTAGTTCCAAGTTATTTTAGTTCATTAATTACGTATAATAATGAGATCCACACTTATCATACATGAAACGTGAACAATTTCCATATATTTTCTTATTAGTCAGTGGACTATGCATGAAGACTTGCAGTAAACAAATCTAAAGAAATAAACTTTAAACGTTCAAGCCAGTCTCGAATATACTTACACAGTAGGTTGAATGGATTGACGCCTATCAGAAAACAACTACTCCCCTGGCTAATACCACCAAGGGCGTTGGATTATATCCGACAGGCGTCAGTGCAGGAATCTTCACAGAAAATTTCCTGCATATGCAATTGGCAATACAACTGAAAGACTCGACCTTCAATTTTGGAACGGGCACACTTGCAGACCGGTTTCGGGCTCATTAGCCAGCAAAATAGTGGCCATCATCGACCTACAGTCAATGATATTCAATAATTGAAAATCGGAATTCTTTCAGAGTAATTCATTCCTCTTCCTAAGTTGGAGTGAAACAACAAAATGTCACTCCATCTAGTGGACGAGGTACTAACCAACTGCATATCCGTAGTTTGCCAGATTCCTCTGAATAAGGAAGAAAAACTTTCTTATTAGAGGGCTATGCTTGAAGACTGGCAGTAAACACATCTAAAGAAATGAACTTTAAACGTTACTGGAGTTTTTTCCCAACATCAAACCGTTATTTTAACACCTCGACGTGTGTTTCGATCACCAAGTGATCATTTTCAAGAGGAAGATCAAACTGCATCACAACCTCTCAAATGAAGTGAAAATTTTCTACAGCTATCTCTATTTTTTTTTTCATCTTATAGAACCTGACACATTTTTTTTTTAGTATGAGTATCCTAGAGATATCAACAGAGTTTTCCCCGAATATAATTCCATTTTTTATTCTAGATTGAATATAAGCATGGTATGCAGAGAGAGGTCAGCTTCAGTTGAGACATGTTCCGATAGTATTCTCAATGCATAACAATAAAATTAATAATAACACTTGTAATTTATTGAACAAAATTACAATTTTGCTCAACTAGCTATCGACCGAAGATATTTTGCAATATTTTTTGATAAATAGTCTATGTGATTTTTCTAGTCCAGTCTCCTAACTTACAACAGTCCCTAAAATTTTACCTGATTGCATATGTTTATATTTTGATTATTATATTCAAAGGTATTCAACTCTGGCAAGGATCTAATGGGCTTGTTTCATGCTATGGAAAATGATACTGGTTTGCTTATAGACTGATCGAGTTAGGGTTATATTATACTTATCAAGCCTAATCGGTCCCAAAATCTCTTTATATTTGCAGAAAAAAGAATAATTCGAAAAACAATAATTCAAATTGGCCGCGTGTCTGTTGACCAATAAAATTGATCAGGTCTAGAGCGGAGTTGCCAAGTATATTGGTTTTTAATATCTAATCACAGATTTGATGATCCAATTTGACAGACGCCATTTTTGTTGTTATTTTTGTCAACTCGGTGTGAATATAACTCTTACAATTATATAATTACAGAACGTTATTTTGTAAAAGGTAGGTCTTGGCGGGTACCTATTTTACTGCATATTCCGTGTCATTAGTTTACATTCAGAAAATATTTTTTTCAGGTTATTTTTGGATTGATATGTCCTGGAGTAATTCTACATTTCACTGTACATATTTTTGCTTCTCTTTTCAGTCGCCATACTGCTCCTTGGCCGAGATAAAATAAAAATTAAATCAAAACTTTCCATCCTTCGATAAAAGACAAAGTCTGAAATGGATGTCATATAAATAAAAGGGACCTACTAAATATACCACATACCGTTACAATTTTTCATTCTTCATTTCGGTACCAAAATATTGCAAATTTTTCAAGTAAAATTCATCGATCATTTCAAAATCGACTCTTGGTAAGTTATCGGGAGTCAGCTTTTACAAAACTAGGCTCAACATTCATTTTGAAATTATTTTACCAAAAATACGAAGTTTGTGGAAACCATTGACATTAGAAAGAGCACATTGTCGCATACACTACAGAGGGCGCTGGCTGACAATATGGCTAATATTCCAGTAACGTTGAATTTCTTATTTTATGGTGGGTGGCATGAATGCATAATTGATTTATTTTATTAGGGTTCATGAGCATTCGAAAACCATTTGAAAATACAGCTCGTTTCATTTTATCTAGAATTATATTTAGATATAAATTGTACTATATCAGTTATCGAGGCAAATATTATTGTCCATTTTTATGCGTAATTCATGGATTCGTGCGATCTTATTAATGTATATTTATTTGTTTGCTGGCTTTATTGTGATATGGGAGTACCCATATCACAATTTATTGGTTTATTCGGCATTGAAAATGTATGTTATATCGGATCCATTCTGCTTGTTTTTGCAACATTGAGTTTCAACTTTTTCTTAGCTGACAGCTCACGTAGGAACAATTCGTTTTTTAATCGAGTTTAGTTTGTGTATGTTTTGAAAGTGTTTTAGAGATATATTTGAATATTGATATGGTGCATTCTTGTGCTGATTTTAATTGTGCAGAAAGGTACAAGAAAACAGAAAGCGCATTGGTTTATAAGTGAGTTATTTCATATAATGAATTTAGGTTCCCAAAGGATAAAATGATGAAAAAGAAATGGGTGAAGGTATTGAAAAGAAAGAACTACAATCCTTCTACTCTTCCAAGACTTTATAGAAATCATTTAAAAAGTGACTCTAAATTTTTGAGTTTTGTCAATATTAAGTAGTAGTTCATTTGCTGTGAGGAAATTGTTTAATACATCTAGCACATTTGTTGTCTTTGTCACGACCAACTGAAAGTATTTTCTTTCACAATGACATATCATCAGCATATAATACAATATCTTCAATAGCTACATTTGGTATTTCATTTGTGTACAGTATATATAGTAATAAGCCTAGGATGGATCCCTGTGGCACAACTTTTTTTAATTCACAATTGATTCTGATTTAATTATACCCGAGGTGTCATTTTCAATCAAATGTTGGATTCTGTTTGTCAAATAGGATTTGATCAAGTCCAAAGATGTGCCTTTGATTCCATATTTATCAAGTTTGTTGCATAAAATTTCATAGCTGACACTGTCAAAGACTTTGACAGGTCAATACACAACGTTACCATACAAAATAAATAAATTATTGGAGAGAAAATAAAAAAATTGTTAATTAATTTCTCCACCCTGAGTAGATCCTTTTTTTCAATTATATGCAAACAATAAATAATGTTAAGGATGCTATTTTGTATTTGTTTCATGTTTCATGAATAATCTAGTCTGTGTCTAACTCGCGAAGACTACATTTTAATTGAAAAAGGCTACCGAACCGAGCAAGCTGTAGGGTTCAAAACTTCACCTGAAAAATCTCTTCCCCCGGCAAACTCCAGTCCCTCCTCATCAGCCGAGGTGAGTTCCAGCTCCACAATCTCGGTGTTTCCTCTGGGATAATCTTGTATGTGGTCGTAGCTCGACAGCGGTCTATTTTCGCATTCGATGTGCGTTTCGAGAGCCTCCCTCAAAGCTTTGGTCTCCTTCACCAATTCGTTGCGCTGCTTTTTCACGGCGTCAGATTCACGTAGAGATTCAGCTAGTTCGGAAACAGCCCTGTCGCGTTCCTTCCTCATGTTATCGCAGAGGGTTCTTATGCTTTCACGTTCAAGTACGATTTTATCTCGCTCACTGAAGGCCCAATCACGACGACCTAAAAATAAACAAGTGCGACTGAAAATGTTTGTTCATCATTTTTTATGGTTATAATATTCTTCACTGATTATTACCTCTGAATTTTGTAGAAACAAAATTTTCATCATTTGCAATTGAACTAAAATAGTATTGATCGAAATTGAAGTGAGATAAAAAAGGAGGTACTATTATTAAATAACCTACTAAATTATATTAACTTACCTTTTGATACTTCTGCTTCCTGAACTGCTTCTGCTAGTTCCGTTTGAGCTTTGTCCAGACTTTTTCTCAGAGATTCGAGTTCCTGGTTGGCCTGGTCTAAATTGTCCAGGCGTTGCCTTTGACTGATCAGAAGAAAATTATTGAAAATCATTTGTAAAAGGATATTGTATATTTATTGGGATAAAAGTAGAAGGAAGAAAGCTTGAAATAAAGAAGACTTACATAAAGAAATGTTTCATTTATAATAAACTACTTTTAACAACAGTTCACTGTAACTAAATGACTGAATGAAAATAAGCTGTTGATAAAAGTAATTTTTAAGTACAAGCTTTCATTTACAAGCAATGAAAAGAAGAAAAACTTAAATTTCCATTTTTTGTATAATGATGGAGAAGTAGAATGCCAAAACCTTTCTTTCCCAAAAATTAATCCCTCCTAAAAATATACCTCTTTCAATTTAGACATATAAATTATCATAAATTATTAAAACACAGAAAACTCACACCTAGATCGAAATGTTGAAGAGCTAAACGATAATGTAAGGAATCTGAAGCCGCCCCTGACCGATATGTCGGCCAGCGAATAAACACATGACATCACCGCAAAAGGAATGCAGACGGCAACCGCCGGTTAAACTCTAACTGAGTACCGAAACGACTACAGAATTCTAGAACGATCGTTACCGATATATAAGGTCGGCTTCTCGTCCCACGAGGGCAGTTGTGTTCAGAAAGTGAATCGGTCGGTTAAACAAGGAATTTAAATAGTGGAAATGAATTAAGCGTTAGTTACTAAGTGTTGTAGATAAATTAATTTGTGATAGTGAAATATTGTTGAAAATAAATTTGTTTAAGACAGTTAATTCTTTAAATTATCACAATAAAAATATAATTAATTACGGATCTTTTGAATGCCTCAATTTTGTTGATTGAAAGGGTTAATCACTTGAAAAAGCTAATGTTTAGCGAAACATGTTGTGATATATTTTTTCAATAAAGTTTGTGGAGATCAAATCGTTTAGGTGTAGTTTGTGAAATTACTATGGATCTTCATCAAGTAACGGCCGAATCAATCAGAAAAAAAAATGCCTCAATAGAGTTTGTAAAAAAATTTAGTCTTGACTCATTAGCCTCCTTTAAGTTCGTGAAATTGGACTATTGAGTCCATAATTTCTGGAATGTGTCTGTACAATGAAGACAGTATTGCCATCTCTAATTTCCCTTTTCCTCACTCTAAAATTAATCATGTTTTAGAAGTCCTGGACCGTAATAGTGACCTGCTAACAACTTGAATAGAAACAAGAAGTCTGTTTGGATTCGCCTATTTTCAAATGTGTTTAAATGGGGGATTGAACAGATGTCATTCTAGTTTTTTTTCGAGGACACAACACAGGCACTACAGGAAAATTCTCAAGTCACTCTAAGAAAGTAGCGATTTATGTTGGATTTGAATCGCTGGAGATTAAATTCATTTGGAAAAACTTTCTCAGGAAGATTATTTATCCCTCATAAACGCAGTTCTCTAAATGAAAGAGTTCTCAAATACGTATTTGCTACTGAAGAGCAGATAAGGCAAGTGTCTTACGTTGAAACATCGGATGTCTAGCAGTAAGGATGACAGTGTTAAATGTAAATGAAATTTTACTTCTTTCATTATTTATATTGTGTATAAATCCTGTGAATGATATCTGATTTGATTCCATTACGAATGTTTGAAACACAAACGGAATAGAGAAAAGTGTTTTTCATATAATTCAGCGTTCATATAAAAGTATTTGTTTCGAAAGTATTTTTCTTTCGTGTAATTTAATGTTTATATGAAAATAGCTGTTTCGAAGGGAATTTTTCTTCCAGTTTTTGTCTGAAAGTTAATTCTTTGCATGATCTACACATCTTTGTATAGAATAAATTTTTTGAAATTGATTCTTTCCTTTCTTTGGAAGAAACCTACATTTTTTGCATCAAGATGGAGAGGTAGAAGGCCAAAAACTCTCTTTCCTAAAAATATATTCTTTCAATCAAAACTATTCCGCCATTTTGGACCGTCCGCCATATTGGATTTAGAGTGACGTCATGTTATTTTTCGTATTATGTTTTGTGAATTTTATATATTGCATTTTCTCTATATTCGAAACATTTATTTCCTCACTATTCAACAGTGTCTCCTCTGCCAATAGTTCCAGTTTACTTTTAATTATAAATGTATCACCTGCATAAAGAAAATTACCTGCCAGATCCACAAAACCCAGCGAATAACTGATATATAATATGAAAAGAAGGGGACCCAATACTGATCCTTTTGGAACTCTATGAGGGATCTCCTTTGCTGATGATTTTGAATCATTATAAACCATTACTTATGAAGCACTGTTTGGAACTTTTGGTGTAGTAAGTAATGAATATTACTGGAGTTTTTTCCCAAACTCCAGTAATATTCATTATAAACCATATTTTTTAACTTCAGAGTATGATTTTACGATGTTCAGTGCTATACCTTTTATGGATTTCAAGAAATACACTGTTGAAAGCTTTGAAGAGGTCATCACCAGATCTTTTTTTCTGATTAAACTCGAATATCAATATAACACATATCAGAAATGTAACTGTCAGCTCAGCAACTGAAGAATGAATTTTATTTTAATTACCCTCGTTGATGTTAATTCAAATAAAATTTTACAGAAATCCAAAAAACTCTCACCTAAATGACCGAGCATCCTCACGCAAATGTTCCTTGCAGCTCTGCCCGTCCCCGATGGCCCCCAGGCTGTCGATCAGTCTTCCACGTGACTTCTTAGTTTGATCGCCCATGATCAAGCGACCATCTTCCGAAGTGGCGCCCAGATCTCCGAATTTTTCTCGAAGATCGTTACATTCTTTTAAAGCTTTATCGCGCTCGTGGAGAGCGCTGGCAATTTCTCGTCTCAGAGATTCTAGTTGATAAGTGAGATTCCGTTTTTCCTCCTGCAGTTCTTGGTTGTTGACGTCGAGGATTTTGTTCTTTTTCGTCGCTTCAGATAGGTCGTCGCTAAGTTTCTCCATTTCTTTGTGAACGGTGTGCCTGAAAATTCAAAATTGAAGCAATCAGCGGTAGCGATTGCAGTAGATTTGCTTTAACTGAATACATTTTGAATATATGGCCAAAAATCTGGTAGCGAATGAAGTTGTTCAAGATATCAGTGAAGTCACAGATGCTGATTCAAATAAATTTGCCGATGATCATGTGTGAATTGTTTTCAATACACAACCCATCCAAGCTATTTAAACCATGTTGTAACAGATTAACTTCGTCTAATGGTTGTATTGGTCTGAAAATTTCAAGATCATTTGCGAACTTTAGAAAGGTTAAATTTTCAAAACATTCTGTAATTTCATTAACAAAAATGTTGAACACAAGATGTGCACAATGAGACCGACCCTTGAGGTACTCTCGATATGTGAAATAATCTCATCTTATGTAATATGTTGTGATCCACACGATATTGAAACCTTCCATTAGTCATAGTAAAATTTTGTGTTTTGACAATATTTAATCATTTTGTTGTTAACACTCAAATTCTCTTTGGTTGTGATTTTGTTCTTAGTTATCAACATTAAAGAAGACTTTTCATAATTCAAACTTAACTTATGATAACTTAACCAAGAGGTTAGCAATATAATGTCATTTTTCATGTTATTGTAAACTTCTTTAGTACCACTAGAAAAGTAAAGCAATTATGTGTCATCCGCGTATAACTTAATATTTCCTTTCAACAATAATTTTGAAATAGAATTTATGTAAATCAAAAATAAAACTGGACTCAAAATAAACCCTTGTGGAACACCACAGGTGATAGTTTTCAATGAATATGTTCTATGTGTCCTGACCAGTTTAACTTATCATCTATTATGAGTCCCAAATATTTGGTTTTTACAAAATTCATTAAGGGTAAGTTATTTATTCTTGATTCAATATTTCCATAAATTCTATTTTTTTGTTTGAATAGCATGTAAACGGTTTTTGCAGAGTTCACCTCAAGTTTATTATGTGCAAGCCAATTTGAGTATTTAGAGAGATCTTCATTAACTGTGTTCTCCAGTAAATGTAAATCATATCCACTGTACAAAAGGACCGTGTCATTGGCGAATGTGAAATACTTTCCTTTACGCCCGGCCTGCCTCAGTGACAGTACCATCAGTGTATAGAAAGGGGTCCTAAAAGTGGTAATCTAGGATGGTTATGATTTTTAATTATAACTCTCAAATTTTTTATTTCAATTGGAAGATTATTCATCAAAACAAAACAAGGGGTACCATTTGTTTATTTCACCTGATTTTCAAAAGAGATTGCTCATAATGGCTTAAAAAAGACATGTTTGAATTTCAAATTGAATAATACGTCAATTGAATGGGTAATATTATAAAAATTACTAGATAAACAACCAATTCCACTAACCTTTCGCTCATTATCAGTGTATATTCGGCAGTGGTGGCATTCCTCTCATCAGTAAGCCGTTTAATATCCTTGTTCGCCTTTATGGTCACATTCACGGCCTCCTCGTATTGCTGCTGTAGCTTCTGATGCGATTCCCTATACTTGGAATAATCCTTGCACAATTTCACCATCTGCTGTTTCAGGCCAATCAAGTCTCTTTGCGCCTGTCCCCTTTCTTGGCTGAGTACTTCACACTGCTTAGCAAGACGAGCATTCTCATCTTGGGCGAGTTCCAATTTGGACAAGGCTTGAGAGTGAGACATGAATAAGGCTTCAGAGGCGTTGCCATTGCGATCAGCAAGCTCCTGGCAGAGACGCTGATTCTCTGCCTGCAGCTGCTTATTTTCGTTGAGGAGTTCAGCATATTTAGTGCGCAGCGATGCGGAGTCTTGGGAAGATACTTCTAACTGGTTCATGACAGCTCGATGCTGTTCACGGTAATAATCTAGGTCCTGCAAAATCACTAGGTCCAGAAAAATAATTTCATTGAAGAGATGCATAGGTACGATAGAAAGTTTATTCTTCTATAGCATTTTACACAACTGAAAATAACACTTTTATAAAAAACAAAACACATTCATGCACTCCTATGAAATGAAATGCTTTATTCAAATATGGTACATTCTAATAATATACAATAATGATAATGATGTTGACATTAATATACATATAAACATAATAATAAAAAAAATCTACTGAAATATCAGAATTTGGGAAATGATTATATGTTTCTCCCAATAGCTGTTGAAACTTTTGGTGTTGACTCTGAAGCATTATCTTTTATCAATGAAATTGGAAAAAAAGATAACCAATGAAACCCACGATTCAAGAGCCACCTCTTTTCTCATTCAAAAAATTAATATAGCCATCCAAAAAAGAAATGCAGCTTCGTTTTCTAGTACTTTTCCAGATTCTAAAAATTTGATGAAATTTACATGTTTCCTGAAAACCAGCATTATGAAGAAAAGAAAGGTAATAACATACCATTTTATGGATTTGGAAAAAGATTAAATAGAAAAATTACTTCATCTCATCTGAATTGATTAGATATCAATAGTATAATAAATAAATAATGATCGGATAGGCATATATCATATACTCCAGTTTCATAGTGTTGATTTCTTGTAAGATTTGTGATGATGTTATCATCACAAATGTTTATTAATCCAAGTCTTGCCTTCAACTTTTTTTTTCGCCAAAGGGTAATGCTTTATTAACACCTGAAATTCTTTATTATCCATTTTCTTCTTTCTAACAAAAGTTGATTCACTCAAAATGCTCTATCCCACAAACTAATAATCCGAAAGCTGTGAAATTTGTACACGTGTCTTTTGAAGGTAACATTTTCAAAACCTGATCGATTTCCATACCGTGACTTGAAATCTATTACTTCCTGATTGTCAAGAGCAGTTGGTCTAGATACAACTCACTTCCTCAGGGAATAAGACATTGAAGGACATTGTTGGAACAAATAAATTACTTACACTAAGTGCATGATCACACCTCCTCCTCGATGTACTCAGTTCATTGTTTGTTTTTTCTATCTGTTGCTTGAGCGAGTCATATTCTCTGGTAGGGAAATTTCTGGACAAAGTACCTGAAAGGATTCGAGAGGTTCATCAATCACAGACACAAAATGAAAGTTTTTCAATGTTCGAAAAAACATTTTATTGGAATAGGGTTTAAGGAAAATCATTTCTCTATTTGTAGATCCACACTCTTTATTCGTGTCCCTCATTATTTACTAGAAGATGATATGAAATAACACCTCATCAGAGAGGTCTTTCCAATCATTTTCCAATCATATGAGAAATAATTTATCAGAATTATTAATAGTTGTGCTTATTCAAAAGTTATCCTCATAGGGACATTTTGCTACTTTTACCCTGTCGAAGAATACAAATTGCATGCTTCGAGAGAAGGTATGTTCAATATGCGTTCTAATGCAACATAGTCATAGTATAAACGCATCCTGACGGCAATATATCCCAGGAAATTGTGGTGTACCGCCTGTGCATGCAGTATTTATATATGAAATTCTAATAACAATGATTATCCAATATTGAAGTAGCTCTCCTCAAGCCTCTTTTGAAACCCACAACTGAACAGTCTTGAAAAAAATGTTGCTCGCAAACAACATATTAGTCATAAACTTGCTGAACAGATAGGTTTTGTAAGGGGGGTTTTATTTTATCAATCCCAGCTTGGCAAACGTCCAGCTCGTTCTTAGGAAAGGGATGTCTTTCACCATTTGTATCGGTACAGTTTTCAACACAACACTTGCTTTGTTTTACAGCTGGAGCATAATCGTCTTCCATTCTAATTTCACTTGATGATTGACTCAATACAAAAACTGAATTATAGCCCAAAACAAGGCAGTAAATGTCTAGGGAGATGAAATAAATAAACCAGATTCAGAAATAGTTAAAACCATATCTGATGTTAAACACGCCTCATTAAATGTGTCAAAGTTTCTGGCAAAGAAGAACAACAATTTAGGCAGTAGCACTTTCATGGATGTATTTGAAAGTTTTCAGCAATAAGTGGGAATGCGTGACTTACCAATCAAAATTTTTATTGATGTTATCTGTGGTGCATGTTCTTAAAGCTTATTTAATGATGAAACATTTTTTCGATTCTCATTAGGACTACAAATAACGTAATGAAAATTTTTAGCAAATCTAATAATACGGTTGAACTTTAAACACTTATTAATGCTACTTTGATTGAACTAAATATTTGTGACTTCATACCATTGCTTCCTCCACTGCCATCTCCATTAGCAGCCATAGTTAAAGAAAGTCCCTGATTTTGCAAGTCTGATTTACCCACATCCAGATGGAAGTTGGGGATCTACAAAAATAAAAAAGGAATATACTTGAAATAAATAATAACTGTCTACATATTTCCATTGAATTCCTGTTAACCAAATAAGTTTTTTCAATAACTAGGGTAATTAAATATTTCACTGTTTATCTTACTCAGTTTATATTGAATCCATATTTGTGTTTTGTTGTGCAAAAAACAGGGGTTGTTTTGAACTTTGAAATGTAGTTCAATGAACTCTATGATACAACTCCCAATTGTAAATGTAATCCTAGATAAATTTAATAATTCAGAGCAGAATCTGTTTATCGAAAAATAACGAAAAAGAAATTTGTCCAAAGTATAATAATTCTATTCAAATTGTAGAAGATCTTCTCCAAATTCAGCTAGATATGAAAATATATCAGTTCATAAAGAAGTGTAAAAAAGGGATCCTACCTTGAAGATCTGTCACAATCAGATTTCTCTTGCTTTTGATTCCTAGACTAGGAAAGTTGAATATTAACATTTCATTGTTTTCTATACGAACAGTTCATGGTATCTGACTCCAGAAATCTACCAGTGTTACTAATTTTACCCAATAGAAAGTTATTACAGTTCATTTTATACGCATATTTAACGAGAATAAACTAAGATAATTTAAGTTCAAATTTTCTCTATAAAAAATACATAAACATAAACTTCAAGTAATCACCAAATTTCTTAATAGAAAATAGAACTGATGTTTGTTGTAAAAGCGGCATGTTTCAATGTTTATTTTTAGCAAGACTACAGGTCACACCAAACAAGAAATTTGGGGAACTTAAGAATAGTTTCCGTGTTATCCATATTTGAGAACTTTCCAATCCTTTTTGTTCACATCATTACAGAACAAATTACTAGCAAAAACGTTATATTTGCTCAATATTTTGTTACTAACAGATAATAAGAGTTAAGATAACTACTCACCAAACATATTAACAGTTATTTTATGTCCACCATTAAATAATTTGGTAAATAGAATTCCAATTATAAAAACCTATTACAAATTACAATTCAACCAATTCTTGACAAATAAACTGTCAAAAAAGACAGCTGACAATTGGAACGGTTGTTTGTCTAACAGGGAGCGGATAAAAGCTGACGAGTTCTTAAATTCACGGAGCGTGTTCTGTGGATTCAATACATGAGATGAGTTCTTGAATTCACCCAGTGAGTGGTCCATTCGAATCGTTAGCGTGTTTCTATTGTTTGGAGCAATCCACTAGAAATTTTCTGTTCAATTCAAGAGTTTAAGAATTTGCCTATATTATCTATCACATTTTGCGATAATTTTTTGTGAAACCGCCTAATGCTGTAAGCTGTTAGACGTCAACAAGAATACATACTTGTTTAGCCGCCTTGGGACGTAAGCACTTGCCCATGACAGTTATGACAGATGACTTTTGAACAAAAACGAAGAGGAACAAATTAGTTGTTTTGGTGTAAATGTACATGACTTGTGGTTTATAATTCAATTCAGTTTTTCAAATTTGAAAACTTGGAATATTTCCTAGTTCAACTAACAATATAAAATAGTAAGTATTTCATAGCTAACCAATAAATTCTCCCAAGACGCTACAAGTTTTACTATCGTACTATCCAAAAATATAAGAAACCATTGTCTCAGTAAATGTTTAAAAGGAGAATAAAAACTACTCATATAACATTTCTCATTGAATTGATGCACGAGATGATAATGTAGCTAGATAAATAAGTAACCCTCCACTTACATTGTAACTCACAATGCAACATACAAGTATGTTGAATTTATTATGCTTTTTACTACTTTTAGGCCAACATGGAGTCAATAGCCACTGATTCTGGTAAAATCGTCAAAATGGAAGTGGATTATAGTGCTACTTGCGACGAAAAAATTCCCGAATGTCAAAAATTGGCCAAATCTGGCAAACTACATGATGCCCTCGACCAGTTATTGGCTTTAGAAAAGCAAACCAGAACTGGAGCGGACATGATTTCTACAGGCAGAGTACTAGTTGCAGTGTGTCAAATTTGTAAAGAAGCAAAAAACTGGGCTGCTCTTAATGAACACATAGTGCTTTTGACAAAAAGAAGGTCGCAGTTGAAACAGGCGGTAGCAAAAATGGTCCAGGAATGCTGCACTTATGTTGATGAGACACCTGACAAAGAAACTAAGGTCAAACTCATTGATACGTTAAGGTATGTTTTTTTGACGGCTCAAGCAAGTTATGAAATTTTTTAATAGACTCATGTATTTTTATCCACTGTTGACGTTTCTGAAGTCAAAACTTGGTGTCACACTCCACTTTTGGAAATATAACCACTAAAAAGTTGAAACTGCTGAAAACATTTACTATTTCAGTAACTCACCATTTGTAATCAAAAATAGTGAAATAACTCTTTTTTGGAATCATGACCTCTATTATATCATAATTTCACCAGGGTTTTTTGTTATAATTTTAAATTGCCGTTCCCCCATGTATATGAGTTGTGCGACAAAATTTGGATACAATTTCATAACCAGGTATAGACATGAACTCAATATTTTCAATATCACACCAGTGTTCAACAATACTAATAATGTCCGGTTTCTCTACTGATGCGAGAACTTCCAATTTGTTAATTTTATTATACTGAATCTAAATTAAAAAAAAACTACTTTCAGCTGTTGAAACAAATATCTATTTTTTTTGTTGTTAATTCAATCAGTTCTCTTTCAGGCAAGTTACAGAAGGAAAGATATACGTTGAAGTTGAGCGGGCTCGCCTAACTCATAAGTTAGCTAAAATTCGCGAAGAAGAGGGTAATATTGAAGAGGCTGCGAATATCATACAGGAACTGCAAGTTGAAACTTATGGCTCTATGGAAAAACGTGAAAAAGTAGAGCTGATTCTAGAACAAATGAGACTATGTCTTGCCAAGCAGGACTATATTCGTACACAAATCATATCGAAAAAGATCAATACTAAGTTCTTTGAAGATGAAGGTAATAAAAATAAATATACTTTATTGTCCAAAAAAAATTATTTGATTGACAAAGTATACTAGTAACAAAGAATACATAGAGAAAAAATATCCAATAAAATAATTTTAATGGACAATTTCAAAAAACTATTCAACAATATCCAATTTTCCAAATACTCATTTATTGGTATAGGTACTTTGAGGATATTATCGGTACAGGAACACTTCGACAATTACAGTCATATTTTCAATACATTCTATCTACGAAAATATAAAATTCACAATAGAACTAGTAACCAATTATTCAATAAAAATATTAGAACTTACGATTACAAAAATCCAGAACAAACATGATTTCGAGATTTACCATAAATCAACCCATACAGGCCCAACTGTCAATAAATTAGCAGCTTACCATAGCAGGACCCACAGACTCATCAGTATCCGTATGTCCACAGATAATTTCAATAAAGAATTGAATTTGATGAAACAAATTGCAGTGAAAACTTCAACCCGAATATGATTCATTACATCCTTGACAAAATTTTTTTCAAACAGGCTATTAACCTAGTATTCCCCCACATCAAAATTAACATTGACACCCACAAAACACTCATTTATATGGGAACATCATCAGATAAAATGAAAAATTACTAACAAAAGAGAGCATTAACATATAAGATTGGCGACTTCTTAGGAAGACGTATAAAGAAAATAAGTCAATAATAGACACAGGTAACAAATGAGTCTACAAACTAAAATTCAAATTCTTTATTGGCCAGTTGGGTACAAAATTATACATATAGCAAGTCATAATTTTTACAGTAAACAATACACCCACAATATATCATATACACATCATATTCTTTATAGTTAACAATAAAATAATTATATATCAGACATACACGTATCAAACCCACAATATAGAGATATTTAACAGTTAGAATCATTCAGGAATTCTTCGCAACTGTAGTAACATTTGTCTAGTAAGAGATTTTTAATGCTCCTATGGAATAACTTGTCTGTTTTAATTTGTGTAATAGCTGACGGCAGCACATTATAAAGGCTGACTGCATTATATAGTGGTGATTCTTTAAATTTGGAGGTTTTGTGTCAGGCACTTTTGAAATTTCCATTACGATTCGGATATTCATGACATGATGAGGTTTTTTCAAGCAGTGACTCGTTTTTTCTGGCATAGTTCACACATTTATGTATGTATACGCAGGGAGCTGACAGAAATCGTTCTCTAATGAATACTAGCCTACAACTGTCTAAGTAGTTGATGTCAAATATCAGTCTCACTAGTCTTTTCTGTAATACAAAGATCCTAGTGAAGTTTTTTGCACTTCCCCAATATACAGCGATAGTCGTATCATCAGCAAACATTGTGATTTGACAATTTGATGAGTGTTCCGGCAAATCATCAATAAAAATAAGAAATAATAGGGATCCGAATACCGATCCTTGAGGAACACTTTGGTTTATGCTGAAATATTTGGATAAAACATCATCATACTTCACAATCATGTTGCGATTTTTCATCTAGGACTCTATCCACTTGACTAGGTTCTGATGAGACCATATCGAAAGCCTTGGTTGAGTTGAAAAAAATTGCGAATACAAAATGGCTAGAGTCGACTTATGAATAGATATAATTGATCAGATTTTGAGATGTTGAAATGTTTGTGAAAATTGTGTAGTTAGTATCATGGATAGTGCCATTAATTTTCATCAAGTAACAGGTCAGTCCATTCATAATTTGAATGATGGTAGGTTAGTCACATCATAGCTTGAATTTTTTCAAGGCACAAGATATTTCATTACTCAGATCATTTTAGTTTTAGTTTGCTACAGTATTGGGGTATCATCTGCGAGCAGGGTAAGTTTACCCGCCATGTCAATTTTCAAAATTTAATATCAAGAAGAGTATCGGACCTACAACTGATCCTTGCAGAATTCCAGTAACCTTTGATATTTCACAAGTTCACACTACCACTTGTTAAATATGATTCAAATAACTTATCAGTTGAGTTTTCAACAGTTTACAGAGTCGAAAAGCTTTGCCAGATTGTAAAATACTGCAACGACAGTATCCCTAACATTGATCAGAGTTACAACTCAAATAAAAAATAGAAAATTGCTTATTCATATTTGTATTGACTTGGAACCTGACCTGATTATCATCAGTAATATTGTTCAATTCAAAAAAGTTTTCAAGCCTAAATATTGACACATTCTGTTTGTTAAAATGTTTATTGTATCATATTTTTTAGCTGCCTCCGATCTGAAGCTTAAATATTATCGCCTGATGATGGCAGTTGATCAACACGAAGGATCTTATTTGGCTACCTGCAAACATTACAGGGCTGTTTTGAACACCCCCAGCATCATGGCTGTTCCGGAAGAAAGACAAAGTGCTGCGCAAGCAGTTGTTTTATACCTCATCCTTGCTACTCACGACAGTGAACAAGTTTGTATCTTTCTAAAAAAAATAAAGCTGAGAGATGGTAGTTCAGGTTTGAGTGGATTTTTGTATTTTTTTAGGTTGACTTGACTCATAGGGTGTTGGCAGATAAAATTTTGGAAGAGATTCCATTATACAAGCTACTTTTGAAATTGTTTACTACTCCGGAACTGATAAAATGGTCTGGTTTATGTGAGGTGTACGAAAAACAGCTGAAATCCACACCTGTTTTTTCTGAAGATGAGGCTGCAACAAAGAGATGGGCAGATTTAAAGTGAGTTTACTGTTAATTTAATGTCAATTTGTTTATTTCGAGAGAAAGAGAGTATGCTGTATACATGATTGAGTCATGTAAACACAGTCTTAAAGAAATAGAACCGAATAATAGAAGGATATAAGAAAATATTTACTCATATTCCTAATCGCACAATTAGAGCTACTAAGCCGCCCAAACCCTGGATAACGTACAATATAAAACTAATGCTTGAACTGAAACACAAAGCATTCCAACGATACAAGAGAATGAGAACACCGGGATCATGGGAATACTATAAAGAATTGCGTAATTATGTATTTAGTGCTATCCGCCGTGAAAAAAACTGTTTATCTCAATTATGTACTTAGACAGAAAAATTCTAAGGCAACATGGAATACTCTTAGATCTCTTGAAGTACTTCGAGATAATAAAACTCCGGCTATTCCGTCGTTTTTGAAACATTTGAATGATCTGAATGAACATTTCGTTAATATACCAATATTTAAAAAAACCGCCAGTCAAATAGCTGTATGCGAAACATATCACAATCCTAAATATGAACCAGAGTTTATTTTTCATAATGTAAACTCGTATGAAGTGAATACGCACTTTAATAAAATCAGTAGTAATGCTATGGGCTCTGATGAAATCACAATTCGTATGTGGAATTTAATTTTGCCCCATTTATTGAAATATATAACATATATCTTCAACTTTGCCATCGAGACTAGTAAATTTCACTCTCAATGGAAACATGCTAGAGTTAAGCTATTGGCAAAACGTACCGATCCCTCAGAGTTCTCTGATATTAGACCCATAAGTATTCTTTCTGCCATCTCAAAAGTCTTTGAAATGATCATTGAAGAACAACTCTCAGATTACGTTAAACAAAAAAATCTTATTACCTCCGTTCAGTCTGGATTTCACTCTCTATATAGCACTACTATGGCTCTGAGTCTTGTCACTGACGACATATTCAAATCACTTGATGAAGGAAATTTCACATGTCTCTTAATGCTTGATTACAGTAAAGCATTCGATACCTTGGATCCTTCTTTTCATTAAATTGGACAAAACCTTTAAAAAATAAACTGCTCATACTATTTCTTGTATTTGTTCTATTTATATGAATGTGGCTGCTGTGCCTAGTAGAATGGTGATGAATGTCCTTATTGAAAGTTATTAATGATAGCAAGTATGGTGGGGTCATTTTATTCAATATTTTATAAATAAAAACCATGGAACAATAGAATAATCTTTTGGATACTGAGAGCCATTGTAGAGCAGATAGCATGGCCGGTAGAAATTGGTGTATACCTATTACATTTTAAAATTATTCTCATTCCTCGATTTTGTAGTTTTTGGTGTACCGCAAGGTTCAGTCTTGGGACCGCTCCTTTTTGCAATTTATATTAGTGACTTCCATGAATTTGTTAGTTTTGGTAAAATACATCACTACGCCGATGATACTCAATTGTATAGTTCATTCAGCTTTAAAGATATTACACCTGCTAATGAAAATATTAACAGAAACCTCAAAACTCTATATGATGTATCCTGTGCACATAATCTTACTATCAATCCAAAGAAATTCCAGGTCATGTTATTTGGTCCTGAAAGTAAAAGAGATTCTGGCTGGCTTTCACCAAATATCTAAGAGCAATCCATTTGCTTAGTTTCACGCATAGAATTTTTGTTTCGGGATATCCGCCTTACTTACGTGAAAGACTAGTTGCACTATCACGCAGTGGCACTTCTCGTAATAGGCATACTTTGCTCATTCCCAGGCATTCCACAGCAACATTTACTCGAAGTTTTTCCTACAATGCGGCAAAGTTGTATAACACCATCCCTACATACTTCAAAGAAAGTTCATTAAGAAACTTTCAAACTATCAACAAAAGGTTGAAAGACATGTTTCTTACACTACAGTGATAGGGCACGACATATGCAAAAAGATTTTGGCAATTTCTTACACATCCGAATATTATAAAAAATAATAAAAATACATACCAATCGAGGTTGGGTTTAAAAGCAGCTCTCGTAGCTGAACTCCGCCGATTCATTATTTCTTTGAATTTTATTTAATTTGTACTTCTTATTGTGATGAATGAACACATATTATTATTATTGTAATTGAAATATTAAAACCAGTATACTAAGAAACGCGATATGGTTGAATAGAAGAGTAAGTTCTGATTGCGTTATTCAAACGACAAGATCAGAACCTGAATTCTGCCTTTTGACAAAAATGTATGACATATCATTCAAGAATTGTCTGTATTACTCATACCTTGTACTACATTTTGTCAATAAAATGGATTATTATTATTACCAATAAAATTAAAATGTTTCCAAAGACACTACCGATTGGGGCTCTGTTCACAAGATGGAACTGTTACTAGTTATTAGATTTTTTTTTTAAATAACGGTTTTATACTTGCAGTTGAGACGCATTGAAATGAATCGAGTCCCAGACACTTCGCTGTTTGGGCCAGATCTTTCCTGCACTGATGATAGGTAATACCTCGGCATGGTCTTGCTGCTGGATGAACAAGAAACATCTGATAGGCTAACCTCTGTGATGTATCTTGCATAAATATCTGTCAATATCCAGCGTTGTATTAGCCGGGGAAGGCAGGCATCTACCAGAACCTACAATGTAGGTATTTGGTAGCAATGAATATTTTGAGATTTTATTTCGAAATATTTATTTTTTGGTACAATAAAGTTATAAGCATGACACTGAATTTGAAAGATGAAAAAAATTATATACACCTATGTCAAACTGCATGATCAATTTGCGAGTTGAGTCACGTTTACAAAAGATACATACCTACATCGCAAATACAAATATTTGAAATGATGAAAGATGACTAAGTACAACTAAGATAGTAACTCATTGAAATATTCTTCAAGGTGGCAATGAGATCTAACAATTGAAATATTTTTACTGGTTTTCTCAACTCTTCAAGAGTCACAATATCTTTGATTTCATCAAGTATATGACTGGATATTTTACTTCCATCATGAATGGAAGAATCTTCAATTAGATCAGTAGTTCTTGTAATTTTAATTTTGCTTTTGTCTAGTGGAGTAATGCACTTAGTGTGACACAAATCTGCCGATATGTTTTTATTATTGTGACATAATCAAATGAAGGATTTATTAGGAAAAGATGAAAAGAAATGAAGATTGTAGAATCATGTGGTTTTGGTAGCTATTCCGATGGGGAGTAGTAAAATTGTAAACTGAATATTATAGATTTCATCAATAGGTACATGTCTAGGTGGAATTCCTTTTTTAAACTCTAAACAGGTACTGCAAATTTCCATGTCACTCTGAAAAAAGGATGAGATTTACAATTATATCAAATATTCAAGCTATCTTTTTTATTTTATCCCATTCCAGATCAAGAGTCGTGGAACACAACATCCGAGTCATGGCCAAGTATTACACCAGAATCAGGATAACCCGAATCGCCGAACTTCTTGATCTCTCTCCTGCCGAGACTGAGGATTTCCTTTCCCAGATGGTCGTCAGCAAGTCCATCCAAGCTAAAACGGATCGGCCCGCTGGAGTGGTGCACTTTCAACAAACCAAAGATCCTAGCGATGTTCTAAATGACTGGGCCCACGATCTCACTCAGGTCATGCAGAGAGTTAACAAAATCACACATCTTATCAATAAGGAGGAGTGTATTCATAAGAACCTTCAGGCTGTGGCATAACAGTTCTTTTTGAGTTTGTAACGCTGGATTTAACAATAAAACCTAGTTTGACATTTTGTAGTTTGATTTTTGAGCGGCTCTCAAAATAATCATTGAGGAGGAAAGTTGAGGGAGTCATTCTGGCTTCTGTCAAACTAGAAGCTGAACCTAACTTGCTTGAAGGTTATAAATCAAAATTAAAGAGCATAAACAGTCGTAGATATTCGTTTGCCGAGTTCATTTATTTTTTACTTTCATGGTTGTTCCTTTCTTTTAATTTTATTGAAAGAAAAGGTCTGATTTTATTTTAGTTCTTTACTTTATTCAATGTTTGAGAATATCTTTAAAGGTAATTCTCTCCTCTATTTTTGTCCGGGTGTGGGAAAAGTGTTCAGTATTTATGCCAGAGAGTATAACACATTTTTTTTTCTCTCGGGATACTAGTTCATAAATAACAAACGCATTTCATAAGTTTTATTTTAACAACAAAAGACTACTTTAAAACTTAACAATAAAGGATTTACATAACATAAGTATGCTTGGCTTCTTTTCTTAAGTAATAATCTTCGAGACTAGTGAGATACAGAGGGATAGCTTTCAGAGTTTGGGAATTGGCATCATTTACATACACAGAAACGTAATCTCCTGGTTTCATTTGTCTGGAGGAACTGCCATTCAGGAGTGGAACAGCTTCGTTTCCTGGTACGATAACTTTAATATTGTGATCGTTTCTGCCTTGAAGAAAATTTTTCGATCTTCGACTGTAGCCTTCGATTAACACAAGGTGATTTTTTCCTATCTGGGACTGGTTTAGTCTGAGAGCGTGTTGACGGAATATTTGTATCATTCTTTCTAATCTGTGAAATGAAACGTATAAGGTCAAGATGTGATTTTGTATTTCACATTGATGTTACCATATTGACTTTTCAAAATAACTATATATTATTTTCAAATCACTATTATTTTTAGTTACACTCACATTATGTATTATATTTTTATTGAACGTTTCTACATTAGGGTAACCTAAATAAATAAATACTCGTCAGACATAGAAACTATATTGTATGTAGATGATGCAATCTTGGGCAAAAAAAAATTAGATGATTCTCATATGATCCATACTGACATATTAGAGAAAGCTTGATCATGGTTCACGCCAAATGACTTGATTCTCAATGAACAAAAAACAGAAACTCTAACTTTTGAAAAAATTTGTTTAAATCGAGATAACAAAAATTCTACTAAATTTTTGGAAGTACAAATAGATTCCAACCTGAAATGTATAGACCATATAAATAGCATGTGTAGTAAATTTATCAAGATAATTTTTGCTATCAAAAGAATTGAAAAAATAGTAAATCAAAGTGCGGCACTTGCAACATATTCACTTTTTCATTCAGTCCTTTGATTCAGTTCTTAGGTATGGTAAAATCAATTGGAATAATACATCAAAGGTACATCTTAATAGCATATTTGTCATTCAAAAATCTGCAGTAAGAAGCATAATCTCTGCCAATTATGATGAAAAGTATCGACCAATATTTGTAAAACTTAAAATAATGACTCTATATTCAGTTATTGTCTATGAAAATCTGCTTCTTGTTCAACAAAACTTGATGAATAAAGTTGCTCACAAGGATATACACCAACATGATACAAGAAATAAATCAAACCTTATTCCTACAGCTAATAGGTTGAAAAGAACAGATAATATAGGAATTAAGCTATACAATGCCTTATCTGTCGAATTTCGTAACTTACCATTTAGAAGATTCAAAAACTTATTGAAGAAAATATTAACCAAACATCCTTTATATGAAATTGATTAATTTTTCGAAGTTATTCAAGAAGAAAGAGACACTTTTGTGGTCACCTCCCGAACTTTTACTCAACTTTGATTGTCTAGTTGAACGAGTGGGGACATGTAAAGATATTTTGGAGAGAAGCTCGGGGCTGATACTCAGTCCGTTGATAATTTTGAATACAGAGATAATATCATTCGACTCTCAAAAAATATCCAGTATATATTCATGAACACTATCAAATATGACATCTAGACATTTCATTTTTTTGTGTATTTTGAAAAAACTAGAGCTATTCACAGTTTGAGGCGAAACTTTAAATGTGTATTTCAGGAAAAAGATTGTTTTTCGAAAAGTTGACCACTAAACGATGCTAAGTATGAATATTTACTTTTTTAAATCGATTTTTTCAATTTGTGGGCATAATTTATGAATACTGTAACTGACTAATTGAACTCTTCTGTGGTTTATATTACGCAGTAACTTTTGAGGGTAAACTTTTCAGGTTGCCCTGCATTACACTTCAGCAGATTCTCTATTGATTTAACGTTGTTTATTTTTCAAATTGTGGAAGGTTATATACCCAAAAAAATTAAAAAAAGTGATGATTAGGATTACTACATATATTTAAAGTCTTGTAATCATTATTACTCGATTGATAATAAAGTCTTCAAGAGAGAATCTGCATATAAATTGACAATTACAGCATAAATAAAAATGAAGATATGACATACTCTCGGAGAGAGTACATTATGCATAAATATAATAGGGATATAAATACAACTTCATGAAAATACTTTTGAACTGTATAATAGGCGTTTTACTAGCTTTTCTGAAAATATTGTATACCTTGATTTTTTTCACAAAATGAGTTGGCATTCTTGGAGACTAGGCGTTGACAAACATGTTGTTTGTCGTTTGCTTCTGCCTAGTTCGAGGAATGATACTCTGAAGGAATTCAATTTTCGATTATGTGAAATCAGCGACTTCATGTTGATGATTGACACTATCTTGCACTGACGAGTATCCAAACAGCCCGAAACCGGTCTGCAAGTGTGTTCCAATAATTGAAAATCGATTCTAGAAGAATCAAATTCCATGCNTATAATTATATATATATATCGTAATACCGCTGTGAGAATCACATCACAAGCTTGCTTAGGTGACTCACAGTGGTTTATTACCTCTTTCTTCTTTTTTCCCCTTTTTGTAAAATTTTCTCTGTAAATTACCTGAATTACCTGAATAAATTACCTGAATTACCTGAATACAACAAAAACATTTGGTCTATATTGTTTGAAATGAATTTCTCAAATTATTTGTTATGCAAGCTATACCTAACTTTTTCTTAAAAAAAATGTGTGATATTTTTGATGGGTTCAACAAAGTAGGTAAATTTTTCCCTCGTTTTTTGAAGACGATCATAGTTCGTATCTGTAATTTTTTAGAAAGAATGGAATTGATGATATCTAAGATTTCTGTTTTTGATGTTTACGTAATAATTCAGAAGAAGTTTCTAGTCAAGTTTCTAGTCAACTTATCGAAGTTGACTAGAAACTTGTCCATCGTGAACCATGAATTTGCAGCTACAAAATAAGTCACAATATAGCTGATTTTTTTTAAAGATTGCAATAGAAAAATAACTAGTACTTACTTCTATAACTTCATCGGGAAAATCTTTAGGATGAGGAGAAGTAAACCTTATCCTCATCTCAGGGTTGATGCTAGCAACTTTTTTCAGCAGATCTGCGAACCTCAGTCCCCCTTTTTTAGACTTGTATACAGTCTTAAAGCCACTAGCTAAACTTGTTACATTATCTATTTTTGTGTCTACAGATGTATCCCTATAACTGTTGACATTCTGACCCAACAAAGTTACTTCTTTGACTCCTTTTTTTGAGAGCTCTTCCACTTCGTGTAGGATGGATGATACAGGCCTAGATCGTTCCCTGCCTCTAGTGAAGGGAACAATGCAATAAGTGCACATATTATCGCACCCCCTCATGATAGACACGAAGGCAGTTATGGAGTCCTCATTAAGACGAACTGGAGTTATATCAGCATATGTTTCATCCAATGACAAAAGAACATTTATTGATTTTTGGTTATTGTACGTAAGTTCCAGCAATCTCGGAAGGTCTCTATAACTATCGGGACCGGCTACAAGATCGACCATGATATTTTTTTCCAAAACTTTCTCTTTCAATCTCTCAGCCATACATCCCAAAATACCTATTTTGAGACTCGGTCTATCTTTTGATCTGTTTTTTTTCATTCCTTTGAGATGATCTAATCTACCCCATATTCTTTCTTCTGCACTATCTCTTATAGCGCAGGTTACTATGAGAATAACGTCAGCATCAGTAATATCCGTTGTTCGTTCAAACTTATTTTCTTTCAATATCGCCCAAACGATTTCAGTGTCATTTACATTCATTTGACAGCCATAAACATCAAAAAACACCTTTCTTTTATATCCTGATATGCTATGTATATAAGGAATTATATCTTGTGATTGAGGTATGTTGACTTCATTTCTGTCTTGGTTTTGTAAAAAGGTCTGTAAAGTTGGGCCATTGACTAGTTTGTTCTTGAATAATGACTTATTCGAGACAGCTTCAATATTTTCTTGTTTAGTGATAGTAGAAAATTCATTTTTAATCGTAGTGGACCTATGCAGTATGTTTTTATTCAATTTATTTTTAAGTAGGTGCTTTGAAAATTTGGACAATTTAAGGTTCATTATTGTTAATTATTAACAATTTTGCGATTTTCATTCTACCTTTAAAAAAAAATTTTCAAAATTTCATTAACATAGGTTACTTCACAGACTTCATCTTCTTTTTTTTCGTTTAATGGTGACCTTCCATAAAATGGAACTATAATGTCATTGTATTCCCGTTGCGTATTATACGCTAAGTTAGAGGAACTTGTCTTGGGAATGCAGAAGTCTTGTTTTTCAACAATATTGATCTTCTTTTGTATTTCATATTCCATGAATGCATTAGCCTTGTTTCCAATTTGCATATCTTCTTTGCTCCAGGAAGAGTTAGTATTACGATAGTAAGGGTTATACTCTTCTCGCTTCGGAGCAGCGGCGAAACTATCACGCCCGCAATGGTGCTTCTGATAACATGTGTGATTGATGACTTGTTTATTTTGTGGTGATTCATGATCACTTTAATGAAATGAATAAAAACACTTTTGTGTAATTACCACTACTTAGTTGATTTTCAGGGTTTCGGGTTCAACCCCTTTATCAAGTGTAAAAATGAAAATTGAAATTTGAAAACTCGGTTATATATGGAGTTTTTAGGTAAGATGGAAGGACAGGTAGTTGAACAACCCAGGGTGTCAACTTTAAAATTCAACACTGAAGATCATAGGGGTTATTTTAGAGCAAACTATCTCTGTAATGAGATAGGAATGCTTTATCTATTATATGAAATGTGTGATTACATCACAGAGGATATTTTACTCATCCATGCCTTCGTCCCAGCGTGAAAGAAAAGAAGAAGAAAGAGATCACACACTTTCCTGCTATAACCTCTCAAAAAATTAATTTTAGTTTCAGGATTTTAATTCGTAATAGTTCAACAAAATGCAGGAAGCGAGGCTAGCTTACCGCTCTTTACAAAGTATAAGACATTGGAGGTCCATTTCAAAATGGTAAACTATTACCACTATCTTTTTAATCTAATCATTACCAAGTTTGTGCATTGCAGTGCCCGGGTAGCCCAATCTGCGGAGATCCAATCTAACCCTGTCGAAAAACTCACAATCCCACCCCCAAGCGGTTGCGAAAAGGTATTCGCACCGAAAATTGAAAAGTTAGTCACAGAAATATCGCAGCTCAACCTCATAGAAGTCTCGGAACTCAGTGATTTATTGAAGAAGCGTTTGAACCTCCCTGATGCCCCCGTACTACCTGTGGGTGGATTTGGACCAGGTCCTGGTGTGAAGGAGGAAGAGGAAGTTGAGCCGCAGAAAGTTAAATCAGTTTTCACATTGAAGTTGATGAAATTCGATGATAAGCAGAAAGTGGCTCTGATAAAAGAAATGAAGAATTTGATGGAAGGAATGAACTTGGTGCAAGCGAAAAAATTTGTCGAAAGTGCACCGACAGTGGTTAAGTCAGACATTTCCAAAGAAGAAGCAGAAAAGCTGAAAGAGGCTATAGAAAAAGTTGGCGGTGTTGTAGAGCTCGAATAGAATAATCAAGATTCTAATTTCTTGGATTATTCGGATTCTTAATATGTTTATTTAGGATGAATAATATAAATAATCATAATTGTCGTCTATTAATTTCATTTCTATTAAACTGCATTTTGGTTGGTATACTGAATATAAATGAATAATAATAGCAAACCTTAGGTAGATAGTTGAGAGATAAAACTATCTGTAGATGGACTCTATGGAAACACTTCCCACACTAGAACAAAATACTGTCTCTCAAAGCGTTTCGCCAACCATATTAACATCATCAGGAGATGATTTAGCTAGTGTGGGAAAAGTAAATGCTCTTGTGATGTGTTTATTGGTGCACAATCCTTATCTTGGAAAAACCAGTATCCGTAAATTACTAACTATGTTTTAGTAATCTATGATTACTTATAGAATGTTAAGCGTTGGTATTCTTAATTCTTACCACTAAGCCATTCCAAAATTTTGTCGATTAGATGACTCTAGAAGATAAAAAGATTATAAAAATGATAGGAATTTTCATATTGGAATCTTAATGTTTATATTCATTTTTATTCTTTATAATGATAGTAATGTTATTTCAGAAGATAAAATATATATAAACAAACCCAAATACAGAAATGAATGCGACAAGCCACTGAAGCTAGTAGAGCTTGTTTGTGTGGTCAGTTACCATATGGGATATTGTTTTTGTGGCAGCACTATGAAACCAAAGACCTCATCAGGGATAGATGAGTTTCCAACGACTCTGATGAAAAGTAACATAAATTTTTTGGAAGTCTCGTTCTCTTTTCTTTTCAATATGTCTTTCTCCAACGGAATATTCCAATAATTTCTTTAAGACTTGTATCTTATTGCCCATCTTAAAAAAAGGCAACAGGTCTGACATGAATAACTACACTGAGCCATTCCATTACTAGCAAATTTCAGTAAGTCATTAGAATAGATTGTGAAGCACCACCTGTCTATCAAAAATATCCTTACCTACTGAACGAAGAAACCATTGATCATTTTTAATCAGAAAAGGATTACATCAAGGTGGGCGTGCCTCAGGGCTCCATTCTCGGGCCATCATTATTTCTGGTTTATATAAATGATATTGTCGTTAATTTTCTAGACATTCTTCTCTATTTTTGCTGATGACACTAGCATAATTAGCGGACAGACAATCGATGAATTAACTTATATAGGGCACAAATCTCGTTAGATAACATTTTAGATCGGTTTTTAGCAAACAAGCTATCTTTGAATATCTCAAAAACTTTCAATGTCCTCTTCAATCCTTACAAAAATACTCACGATGTGGAGGTACCTAACTTTAAATGAAAAAATTATCGAGTAAAATTGTTTCAATAAATTCCAAGGTATATACATAGTGAACTTAATTGGAAGAGGCACGTGCCTCCCCTCTTTATCCGTCACTGTCCAACAGTACGTATTTTACAATTTTGAAGAATTCTTCTCAACAGGAAATTGAAAGTGTTATACATCAATGTTATCTACTAAATTTCATTTTCTCAAATAGTTACTGCCTCTGGTATAAATAAACAACAGAATATTTAGATAAATACTGTATTTATTGTTCATTTAATGACTGAATATTTTTTGATAAATGATTTCGTAAATGTACTCTATTACTACTATTTTCCTCATGCCGATGGCTAGGTACATGTATTGTTTGATGGAAATAAGTACTACTACTAGTGCTACATTAATAAAATACATGTAAGTGACATAATAAACTGAGTTCAAACTTAAAAACACAGGAATAATTTCAATAGCAAAGAAGAGGCAATGAACATCACTAAAATCTGGCTACCTGTCCTTAAAGTTACACAAACAAGGTAAGGTAATCCAATTGACAGTAATTAAGCTACGCCTACTAATAATATAAAACCAGAATCAAATACTAGAATCGTAGTTACTGCATTCGGAACGGGAACACCAACTCTGGCACTGTCTTTGATGTCTACCGCAGTAGTAGACGAAACGTCAGACATAAAAACCTGCAGACCACGGCCAAACCACCCGGAAAATAGCTTTCATACAGTTATCTCCGGCCGTGGAAGTCTACATTCCTATACCTGTGCTTAGGTAGGTTTGCATTATGGCAGGAAATGAAATATTGGTGGCAAAATTTTGGTGCACAATTTTCCATAAATACATAAAGTAAAATTCATTTGGAATCTATCAACAAAAGTAACCTTGAGTCTGTTAACCTCGACGACTTATTCTGGATAATTTTATTTACCATTTTTAATTGAATCAAACCAGACAAAGAAAACAATGTCTGCTCGTGAATGAATTATCTGCAAATCACAAAGAACATGTGATATTTTTAATCCGTTTATTACATCCTAGAAGATTAGGTTCACAATTACCAAATGAAAATGAGAAACCAAAGCCTGATAAAGTTTAATGTTGAAAAACGTTACACATAGATAACGTTAATAACATATTCACGAAATTTAAATTTGAAGGCGTTTATCCTCATTATCAAATGTATCAAAACGGACAGACAGTAGTCGATTTTGTTTCAAACTCATCACACGAGTAAACGACCACTTTCGGCTTTACCATGACCAACATGTAGTGTAACGTTTTTGTAACCGATCTCAGCTGTTTCGCGATATATTATATTACAAAACAAAACAGAAGCGGACAGGCGGTGCATTCACGATGTTCAACTCAGGTGAGATATTGTGTTTCACCTTCAATTTGTTCAAAAAATGTTAGAGGGTCTTCGTTAAAATAAACCATAATATAGTGATAAAATAACTCTAGATCACAGGTCATACTATATCAGTTGATAGTCGATTCATTAAAAACGAGAATCGCGGACGTAACCTTGAGTTCCTCGCTATGTTACTGGATCGATGAAAATCAATGGCTTGCGCATTTGTATACAGTGTAAATCGGAATGCTATGTAAATATTTGAAAGGTTTTTTTCAAGGACAAAACACAAGCACTACAGGAAAATCCTTAAGGCGCTGTAAGAGCGGTGCCTTGGCGAAAGTAGCGACTTACATTGGATTTGAATCGCTGGAGATCAAATCCATTTGGAAAAACATTCTCAGGAAGTTTATTCCACATAAACGCAGTTCTCCAAATGAAAAAGTTCTTGAACAGCGAAGTTCGAGGTGTACTGAGATGAACCTCAAAACGATGAACAGCCACAGTCCGTAGCGTATTTCTGATATGTAACGCTCTTGGTGAAATCAAATGTGCCAAGTCACTTCAGGTGATATATGGATCAGGTGGATCTCTCTTTTCTGGATGGAATCCAGCAGCTTTAGGGCAAGCTTAGGAACGGAGCTCCATAAATGAGAATAATACTCCAAAGAAGGTCTGATCTGAGCTTTATAAAGCATTAAAAGTTGCTGAGCTCTATACAGTTCTCTGGTTCGGAACAGTGTTCCAAGCTTTTGAGAAACAGCCTTTGCAATTCCAGCGACATGATTGTGCCAAGACATATTGGTGTCCATTTTAACCCCCCAACAATCTCATCGAAGCAGAAATGGGAATTGTTTGACCTGACATTATTATATCAAGTTCGGAGACATTTATCTTTTTGGAGAAAACCGATGCTTGGGTTTTTGTGGAATTGAATTGAACCTGGATAATTTCACCCCAATTCAAAATCACTTCTAGATCCTCATTATGGGTGATTGTGTTTTACTCTCCTGTCATGAATATGAATTTATACGACATAGAGGATGTTAACAGGTTGTATTTGTGTCATTAATATCGGGTAATTATATATGAGAAATTGCAACGTTTTCGCCTTTGTTTTTAGAGCCCTATGATGAAATTGTTTTTTAAAATTCGAATACATGAATGAAGGACCAAAAAATCACCCAGATTGAAAGAAATTTTAGTATTTTGAAGAGTTGATCCAACTCGAAAAACTAAAATATCAAATTAATTGAAAAAAAAAGTTTTCTCAGCTCGGCGTTTGAACTTCATGAGAAATTATATACCTAAGACCAGCGCATTGATACGGTTTATAAACAAGATAAATCATTCCTCATGAAAAAATCATTCTCTGTGTGTTTCTCTTAGATTTGTGGAGGAAGTTTGCCTATTAGAGTAGTAATATCTGAAGTTGGGCAGGTCCACTTGGAAATACCTCAGGGATCAATACAACGACCCGTGCTATTTATATTAGCGGTATGACATCTGCTTGTAGGTTAACTCTGCTATGCCAAAAAAGTTTTTGAAGCTCAAACATATAATTTAAGGCTTTATATTCTCTAGGATCCTGGTATAAATTTCTGTTGAAATATATTCACTCTACCGTTTACTAACTCTCATTTGACTGTTCATTTATGAATTGTTGATCTATATATTCAATCCTATAAGTAAAATCACAAAATATAAACAGCTCAGAAGAAATCAAATGCTCTCCATCCTAGCTGCAAAATAAAACTCCCTAAACTATTGTTGGCCAAAAATATTCAATCATTTACCTTACCCTTGTTTGTTTTACCGAATCCCATATTAATTTCGTAAACAATCTCTTTGGTAAATTCTCGATCTTCACTAGTTCTTTAACTCTGCGCTGTGTCCTATAGAGAAATGAAAGCACGACTGGTAATTATAATCTTGGCTGACTTCCAGGATCGCATCTGCCCATTTGTTTCATTTGCAACAATAACTTTCACGATTTCATACGGAAGTACAAATTTCAGAGTACTTAATCCAGTATTCTAATGTCGCCGAGTTGATGATATATCTTCTTTCAAGTGTTTAAAAATCGTTGAGATCATTGACCTGAATTTGATCAACGGGTTCAGATTTCAGTATATGTAGTTGGAGCCACACGTTACTTTGATCTGAACTATCTCTCAGAGCCAGCTCTGTTTCGAAAGCTGAAAATTCTATACTTGCAGAATTTGTATTCGGTTTTACATTATAATTGAGGCTTTTTTCGTTTCCAATAGTCCCGAGTTTCTTCTTATGTCAACTCAGTGGCGGTTAGATTTAAAAACCTATCGAAAACCTAAGTTTTCCAAACTTAAGGTCCGATTTTCTTTTCATGGAAGAACTAACTATGATCATTTGACTATGAGAAAGCTTTGTTCAAAGTGGG